CTCAACACTAGATTCTGTTCCTTCCCTAATCATCCCTGGTATTTGTTTCTCTTATGGGTGTGTAAGTGTTTCTTGGAAATGGTGCTGCCGAACTATTCTGTAATTACAGACCGCAGCCCTTGCACTCCGGTTCCCATCCACTCTTCCTGAGCAACCTTGTGACTGTCAGCTTGTTTGACAAGTCAGGGTTTAAATCTGCTGATTCATCCTGGTTTTGCACCTCATGCTACAAGTCATTTTGCCTACTGTTTTCTTATTTATTTATTTTTACACATTTTTCTATTTCATGGCTGCTGTTTGCTATTGCATTTTTGGATTTGAACTTGGATGACCCAGACTCAGGTCCTCACTGAACCATGTCACTCATTGGATGACTTTACTCATCATCATGATGAGTGAAGGATTTTGGGGGCTGCAGTCTAAAATGGAACAACTATTCCAAACTTTGTTCCAAGATCTCACTCTCTTTCCTTTGTATCACAATGGCCTACCTTGACTTTTAACCCAACCATATTCTACCTAAGAACCAGCATGAAGTAGAAGTTTGAACATTGGACTAGTACTCTGGAAACCAGGATTCGAATCCCAGTTCAGCCATATAAATTCACTGGGTGATGTTGGGCAAATCATACATGCTGAACCTCAGAGGATGGCAATGACCCCTCTGCAGAAACATGACAGGTTCGCCTTAGGGTTGCCATAAGTCAGAAATGACTTGAAGGCGCACAGCCACAACAATATCCCACCTCCATGAGAAACACATTGTTCTCCTGGGCTACTTTGATCATCTCCCGGACTTCAGCTGCATTCATGCCCATAGGTTTTTCACACAGAACACTCTTCTTTGCCCGGAGAAAGAGGAGGGTGTGAGCCAGATGCTGGGTATGGAGAGATCCGATGTATACCACATCTGAAAAGAAAAAAAATCAATACATGGGGATCAGAAAAGGGAGAAAGAAGCAGGGTTATATTAGAGCCACAGACCATGTAGCCCAATTGCAGAAATCATTATCAGTGGCCAAGAAAATATTAAATGACCTCTGACTAGACATGGCTGGCTATACTAAACAGTAAATTGTGGTGTGTGCCTAAGACAGTACATGGACATTCTCCAAACTGTCCTGATTTTGCAGGGGCAGTCCTGATTAATCTTCTGTCACCCCAGTTTTTCAACTGTTTTTAAAATGTCTGTTTCTCTCTCCTCCCACTTTCCCCTTTTATTTTCATCCACTTTACTTCAATGGCTGCAAACTGAGTTCAAACCGCAATAGTAGTAGGAGGAGACAGGAGAAGATATAACAGTTCCCAGCTGTTCCCTCTTTTAGTTGATCCTGGTTCCCTGTAATGTAACAATGGGATGATTTATCTTGTCCTTTATTATTTAATTTTTTGTATTTTGTCCTAGGACTTTTAACTATGTACTGTTTAATACTGTTTTAAGCGGGGGAGGGATATATTTCTTATTGTACTGATTTTTATGCTGTAAACCGCCCGGATTGGGCAACCATTGGGTGGTATAGAAATAAATTATTATTATTATTATTATTATTATTATTATTATTATTATTATTATTATTATCATCTTGCTCTTCCCAGAAGGCACAAGCAAAAGCAAACTCCTGCAGCCTCTCCTAGCTTGTCTGTTCTTCATTTATAACTTCTGCCCTCTTGACCACACTCTGATGTTGCTTGGACTGCATCTATACTGCAGAAATAATCCAGTTTGACACCACTTTAACTGCCATGGCTCCATGCTATGGAATTCTGGGCACTGTAGTTTGTTGTGGCACCAGAGCTCTCTAACAGAGGAAGCTAAATGCAACAATTCCCATAATTCCATTGCTTGGAGCTATGGCAGTTGAAGTGGTGGCAAACTGGATTATTCCTGCAGTGTGGATGCCGCCTCGATTATACATGTCCTGGTTTTTATCTGTGAAATGTTGGAGAATAGGAAGGCAAAGGCAAATCCCCTCTGAGCAAATCTTGCCAAGAAAACCCCTTGATTTTAGGGATCGCTTAGGTTTGCTGTAAGTCAGAAATGACTTGAAGGCACACAACAATAACAACATCAACATAATGCATAAATTGAGGGTCTGGCAGCCTCACACTGTTTCCTCCTGATCTTCTCATCTCCCTAACCCCATTCCCTTCTTTTGGAGGACAGAGCTGTGTAGATCATGATGCTTAAAGGTCTCCTTTCTCATAGCAACCCATGAGAAGCACCAGGGCAGTCTGTCTGTCTTTTTGCTTTTGCAGGCTCCATCCTCACCTACATCAGGGTCATGTGCCAATTCCTCATACGATCCATAGGCTTTACAAATTCCATGTTGCTGAGCGTATTCCTGGGAGCGCTTGAGATCTTGAGAAGCAATAGCTACTGCCTGAGAAAAAGAAAAACCAGCCAGTGAGATGAGATATCAGGAATGACAGGATTTTTTTTTTTGGTTTGTTTTATTAAAACAACATGCATTTACAACAAAATCCAACATAAACTAAACAAACATAACAATTACAACAATAACACAACATCTAACTTAAACTCACATAAAATGACTTCCCTCCTTTACTTGGGGTATTTAACCTATTATAACATCAACTTTTAGATATTCCCTTTATCTTCTATTAAGTATTCAATTACAATATTAATTTATTATCATAATATGTTATATAATTTAACAGTTTTTATTTAGTACTCATCTTGATATATATATTATTGTATATCTATTTTAACTGTCCGAAACTAATATTCGTGTATTACAATTCATTACATATTAAATCTAACCAGACCAACATTATTTATCAATCCCTCAGAGCAATCACGCTATTTTCACCCTATATTATTTTCAGGTAGTTTGTGATCGGAGCCCAGTCTCTCTCAAATTTATTTCTAGTTTGTCCTTTCAGGAGACATGTTAATTTGTGTAATTCCATTATGTCGTATAATTTGTATTGCCATTCTCTCAGAGTAGGGTGTTCTTTACTTTAGGAATGACAGGATTTCACAGGACCCAAGCTAGGCTCATGCCCTGAACAACTCGAGTTTGGAAAAATTATTTTTTTGGATGATAACTTCCTGAATCCTTAAGCCACCATGGCAGCTTTCCATGTTGGCTGTGAGATTCTGAACTCATAGTCCAGAACAGTTGTTTTTCAAACTCTGAAAAGCCTCCTTCCATATCTTTGAGACTTGAAGTCCTATCAACCCCATCCAGTTTAGCTAACAACAAGGGATTATGTGTGTTAGAAGACAAAAATATCTGGAAGACGAAAGGTTCTTCACTTTCTGGCACTTGGGAAGCTCTATGTTTGGTTTATTATTTTATCTTTGTTTTCAAAGAGATACCCATCAGAAGACATGCAAACAGTACCAGCTAAGAGGAAGAACAGGGAAGACAGAGTGAGAGAGTGTTTTGACTGATGTTAGCTGAAACCTGGGGGATGCAACCCTTGGTAAGCTGCCCAAATTCCTCTCTGGTGGAGATCATCTGTCTTAAAGGCATGCCATTTTGCCTCACTATAAAGCAGCTTCAAATGGGCACTGCAACAAAATGTTGCAGCATGGAGTGCTCCTTGATCAGGATTCAAGCCACTCCATTCCTTGCCTGCAACATTGCCACTGAGCATATTCTGTTTTCATTGGGATCCTTTAGGGATCTTGTTCCTAAAGTCCCGCCAAAGAGACTCTCTGTGAGGTAAGATGGAAAAAGGCCATAACTTGCCATTGTTCTAGGCATGGCAAGATACTGTGTGGACATTGACACAAACACACATATACACAGCATCATAAGGAAGCATGATGTCTGGAGCCAGGGCACAAGGAGCTGCAGGAAGAATGTAAGTGACAAAGGCATCCAAGTGAGAAAACACTGGTAGGATATGTAAGGAATATAAGCAAAGTTAGCTGCAGCTAATTGAGTAATATACATGGAAGATCAGAAGCTATACAAACAAGAAATCCATGCAAGTGAGAAATCAATAGGTAGAACATATAAGTGAGAAAGATATGTTAAGTGTGAGCCAGAGAAGAGTCAGTGTGGGATAGTAGTTTGAGCGTTGGACCAGGACACTAGAAACCAGGGTTCGAATCCCTGCTCAGCCATGAAAACCCATTGTGTGATCTTGGGCAAGTCACACTCTCTAATGGCAAAGCCCCTCTGAAGAAACTTAACAAGAAAACCTTGTGATAGGTTCACCTTAGGGTTGCCATAAATTGGAAAAGCCTTGAAGGCACACAACGCGAACCACAGAAAGATGCGGAGAGACGTAAGTATTTGTCTCTGGACTGACAGATTAGGAAAGCAGCTCATAATCCAATAATACAAAGGAATAATTAGCACCGCTGTAGGAGTTCCACCTCAGAACAGCATTGTCAGCATCTCTTTTCTGTCAGGATTCCTGTGGCTTTTAACCTTCTGCCTGAGAAAGCAAAAATGGAGCAGGGAGAGCTTTGGGAATACAGAGAACCGCCTCATAGTCGAGTCAGATCATTTGGTTCATCCAGTTCAATATCATCATCATCCATCAACAGCCTACCCCAACCCATTGTTTTGGGCTCCAACTCCTGTCAGCCCAAGTTTATATGCTCAACAATGCTGGGAATTATAGTCCAACCACATCTGGACAACAGCAAAGAGCTGAGGAAAGGCTGATCTGCTTTGTCTGGAAGTTGCTCTCTATACTTTTAGAGAGCTTTCCCAGTTCTTCTTGGAGAGGCGAAGGATTGGGTCTGGGACTCTTGACATCAAAAGTGTATTAATGGCACTACCCTTCCTCTCAAAGAACACAAGAAGGCAGCTTACACCAGGCCTGGCTCTTCATCCATATCTATGCTAGGATAGCATTTATTTACTGCAACTCCCATTGTTCCCAGCTACCACTGGGCATGCTGCTTTGAGAATTTGGAGAGATATAACCCCAAAAGGTTACTTTACCAAGTTATATCATCACCACTTAATTTCAGCCCCATCTTCTCCCCCCTCCTCCCCTTTCAATAATCAAGCCGCAGCGACAGCAAAATGTTTGCCAGCTACATTTCTAGCAGCGGGGACTTTTTTTTAACACTTCCTAGAAAAAAGTAGACAGTTCTACCTGCCCAATGTGGATCCCTGGTGTTTCCACCCATACACCCCATCCAAACCCTTTGCTGCTCTGGGCTACCCAACCTTGTGATCTGCTGATGGCAACGTCTTCAAGGCCACAAGGAAATCGTGGCTGATCTTCCCAGCGGAGCAGATCCCCCAGCGAGTGGCCATTGAAGATTCTGGAGGCCCTGGAGACGAATTTCTGCCTCTGTTGCTCTTGCTGCTGCCTGTGTTTTGTCAGGGTGCAACGCTGTAAGTCTCTGAATCAGTTGCTTGCTGCCTACACACAGAGGGCTGGGGCTCAACATAGAGGCAGGATTGCCCAAGGGCAGGGAGAGGCTTGCTTGGCAGCTTCTAGAACACAGGTGGAAAATAAAAGGAATCTGGTAACTGTGCCAGGTCAGGGAGGATGGAGTGCAAACCCTGACTTTTCAGAGAAAAGATGTAGGTTGGACACATGTCCATGCTTTACATGGTGGTAGACCACATGGAGGCTGTCTCACTTACTCCTCTCTGACTGCTATCCAAGGATGCTCCCTATGGCTGCATCTGCACTGCAGAATTAATGCAGCTTGACATTGCTTTAACTGCCATGACTCAATGCTATGGAAATCTGGGATTTGTAGTCCGGTGAGCTATTTAGCCTTTGATGTCAGAGAGCTCGGATGCCACACCAAACTACAAATCCTAGTATTCCGTAGGATGGAACCATGACAGTTAAAGTGGTGTCAAGTTGCATTAATTCTGCAGCGTGGCACCAGCCTGAGACACCTGTAAGCAGAGAGACATGATGGTGATTTGGATGACTGAACCTGTAAAAACTGCTTGGCACAAAACATACACACTAATACACACACACACCATTAAGAAACAGAATGGAAGGTGAGGAATCTTTGGCCTTCCAGCAGTTTTGGCCTACAACAACCCTGTAATTGAAAGGAATTGTGGAACTGGTAGCCCACTTACAGTGTAGTGGTTGGAATACTGGACTAGGGACTCTGGGATCTTGATATCCCCTGGGATTTGGTTCTAGGACACACACACAAACACACACACACATACACCATGGATACCAAAATCCATGGATGCTCATGTTCCATTAAATACGAAGGCATAGTGAAACTGTGTCCTTTATTTAAAATGGCAAAATGTATCGACATGTGCATAGTTTCATGTAGTTAAAAGTTAAAATTTGGTAAGATGTGATGTTTTTAAAGAAAAGGTTAAAAGAATTTTAAAAATTAAATTTAAAAAATTTAACAAAATACTGTAATCCAGATGGGATGTAACTAAGGCATGTATTACCATGACTAGACCCAATGCCTCTAGGAACAGTCCCAGACTTTGCCTCAACTCATGAACTCTCCATCCTTAACACCCTAATCCTAAATAATCCTAATCCTAAATAACTAATCCTACACAGGTATGTCTGAATTTAATATCTAGTTTTCCTTTGATGGTCCTCACCTTCACATTGTTTATTACCTGATTTATATATTGCCTTTGACAGCATAACTGGTCCTTCCAGACATAGAAGGTTTCATAAAACACCATAAAAATAGACATTATAATAATAACAATCCAATTAAAAATTAAATTATTTCTTCCTGCCTTCTGCTGCCTTACCTTCATCAAAGGTTAGATTGTTGGATCATGGAGTTTGTCAAAGGTTAGATTGTTGGTTGTTAAACACATCAGAAACATCATTTATAGTACCACATAAGATAACAGAAATTATCAAAAAAAGGCAGAATCCTTCCAGGAAGCCACACCTTCTTATCTGGATGCCCTGCATCAATATCCTCAGATCCTTGGGGGAGATGGGAGCAACATAGTTCATTGCATAGGAAATGTAATGCACTTTGCACATGCCCGGGGCAAATTCTTCTTTACTGCTTCACATGTTTCACAGGTTATTCCTCTAATCAAGAACAAGTTCTAGGGTCAGTCAACATTCCCTATAAAAATAAGAGAGTGGTAGATATGAAAATGAGAAATGAGAGCAAGGATTCCTGGGATTAAGATAACTGCCTTTAGATCAGGACTGGGGAACATAATGGTCCTCCAGATATTGTTGGATTGCAATTCCCATTGGCTCTAGCCACCCTAAGACAATGCTGGGGGCTGCAGTCCAAAACCTGGAACATCACAGATTCTCAGCAGAGGTCAAATATAAATTGGCCATGCTTGCCAGGGCTTCTGGGAGCTGAAGTCCAAAAAATCTGGAGGGCCAAAGCTTCCTCATTCTCACTTTAGGGCATTATCACACTACCCTATTGACCCGCCACAATCGGGCTAGTTTAGGAATGGAAGCATACCAGTTTGACATAATTTATCATTTCTTATCATGGGATCCCCCATGGTAGAGCTTTGGTGATCCATGGTTGCGTGATCTGTTTTCTGCACTGCCAAACACCACCTTCCAGGAGGAAAGAGGGGAATGAGCGATTGCAGTTGTCAACCATCTCCCAAAGCCAGCTAATGTGTGAATGTGCACACAGCAGCAGGGTTTGAGAAGGTGTACTGTTGGCAGCTGTGATCGCTGCAAAGGAGAGGAAGGCAGAGAGGGAGAGGAACAGAATCCTGAGAAGTGGAACTGCAGCAGAGGGGACTTATCATATGAAGGCAGAGATTGAGAGCCTATTGACAGGTTTTGCCCATCAATGAAAAGATGCAATACAATAATGAATGGAATGTGAGGCGGCAGCAGGACAGACACAATGTTGTGTGATAACACTGGCCAAAAACACTTTTATCCTGTTAAAATTTCACTTTTATAGCCTTGCCGGATAAAGTTCTCAGCATTTCTTTATGGGGAAGGTGTTACAAGATCCCTCGGTTAGTTTGATTATCATTCCTCAAACTTCTCCAATGTCTTTGCCCCCCCCCCTCCTTCCTTTCAATGGTAGGCAAACGTCTTTTTGTTTAAGCAGGCTTCGAATGTGTAAGTAGTGGAGCCTCTTATAAAGGTAGAGGTAAATGTATTCCTCATTGACAAGGTTGTCAAGTTGTGTCCAACTGTAGCGGGTGGTGCTCATTTCCGTTACTAAGCCGAAGAGCCAGTATTGTCAGAGACTACTCTGTGATTCTGTGGCCAGCATGTTTGCACAGAACGCTGTTTACCTTCCCACCAAAGTGGTACCTATTTATCTACTTGCATTTGCATGCTTTTTAACTGCTAGGTTGGCAGAAGCTGGGACTAGTGACAGGAGCTCAACCCATCATGCAGCACCTGGGCCGCGAACTGCCAACCTGCCGATCTTGCAATCAACAGAGTCAGCGTCTTAACCACTTGAGCCACTGCATCTCTCTTATAGGGATGCTTTATTTATTTTTTAAATATTCTGTATGTCTCTTAAATTATGTTAAACTGTTTAATATGTTGATTTTAATTGTTTTAAATTTTTAATTGTGAAGTTGTTTTTTTTTAGTTTTTTTTTAGTTGACTCTCTCTGGGAGCCTCCTTGGGCCCCACTCCAGAAGAAAGGAGGCATACAAATGAAATAACAAAATAAATAATCATAAAATAAAAGAGTCCACTACAAAGTACAGAGCTTGAAAAGGTTAGGGGTTGCTTTTTTTGCTTGTTTTGTTGTTATTACAGTTCCCAGGATTCCCTATCCCTTAGCTTGCAGGATTCCCTATCCAAGCAGGAGGCTCCCAGGAGTGGCAGCCTCCCCAAAGTAACTTACCAGTAATGTAGAACCAGGATGGTGTAGTGATTTGAGTGTTGGATTACCAGTCTGCAGACCAGGGTTCAAATCCCTGCTTGGCCATGGAAAACAGTAATGTTGCAATCTGATTTTCTACCCACTCCTAATTCCCTGTGAGATTACAACATGATAAACTATACTTGTAATTCTCTCTTCTGCACAACTGTTAAAGGTGAAGAAGCCTTGATCCTATTTCCTTTTGCATCTCACCAGTGTGTTTATTATCATTTTAAAGGGCTTAGCTGGGTGGAGCCCAATAATACTGATTTCAATCTCCAGAGCCTTCTTACTATACTGGTAATGAT